CCAAAAAAAAAAAAAAAAAAAAAAGTAAATTAGATTCATTGCCTGGCACCTCCACAAAAACAAAAAAAATTAGAGAGAGAGAGAAAGAGAAGATTCACCTCCCCAAGGTAGGGAAGGGGGCCAAAGCCAAGAAACACACCATAGCTTGGCATTTTCTTTTAAATGCAGATATATATCTTTTTTTTTTTTTTTTGAGACAGGGTCTTGCTGTGTTGCCCAGGCTGGAGTGCAGTGGCCATTCATAGCCACAATCATCATACACTATAGCTTTGAACTCCTGTACTCAACCTTTCCTCCCACCTCAGTCTCCTAAGCTGGGATTACAGGTACAGACACCATCACAGCTAGGTAAGTTTTATAATTTTTTTTAAAGCTCATCACAGGGTAAGCTAATAAAGAAAAAAAAAAAAAGAAAATCAATGGAAAAATCTTTCATTATGTGCCACAGCAATATCAATGTACGTGCTAAAAGTTGGACTTCATCCCCTGGGTCCATCACATATCCTACTAGTTATAAGGGATTTTTTTTTTTTTTTTTTTTTGAGTTAGAGTCTCACTCTGTCACCCAGGCTGGAGCTGGAGTGCAGTGGTACGCTCATGGCCACCCCAGAGTCGACCTGCTGGGCTCTGGCAATCTTTCCACCTCAGCTTTCCAAGTAGCCGGAACTACAGGCACACACAACCACACTTGGCTAACTTTTATTTATTTATTGTAAACGAGGTCTCACCAACTTGCCTAGGCTGGTCTCAAACCCACGGGCTCAGGCAATCCACTCGCCTTGGCCTCTCAAAGTGCTGGGATTATAGGCTGAGCCACCGAGCCCAGCCTATAAGTGATCTTTTTAATAAGCAAAGTGATCCCTTGAATTCAGGTGAACCAGCTTGCCAAATCCTACCACAGAGCTTTCAGCCATAGCCCCAGCTGGCCCAAGACATGATTGTCTTACAGTGACAACTATAATGCTTCTGAACATTGTATGCCACCTAGAAAATGTTACTACACTAAGGGGGAGAACACATTAATGGCTGGGGAAAATTGCTAACTAGGCTCTGGCAATGACCGACCCAGGGTCACATGCCAATACAGAATATCTATCTAGTTACTCTACAGGATTTAAGGCAATTAGGAGAATATCTATGAAAAGTTATATTGCATTTAAAAGCTACTAATTAGGATTGCTGTTAACAAAAGCAGTAAATGCTATAAACCCATGTATAGTACTGTATAAAGATGAAGATAATTCCTTTGGCAGGGAAAGAAAAATCAGAAAAGGTTTTTTGGAAAAGGTGGCATCTTAAAGTCTTTCCAGCTGGGGAGAGCTGCATAAATGGTAATAGAGGAATAGACAAATCTAGGCAGAGAGCACATCAAATGGGAAAAGGAAAAGGCATGCACAGAACAAATACTCAAAGCTGTATTAAAGAATAATCTGTTAGAAACCATGGTTCTAACCCACTAAGTGGGACATGAAAGCAATTTTAATAGATTGCAATCAGCTTTGTTTTTAATGGAACAGAGTGGAAAATATTAGGGTGTATCATATATTAAAAAGGGTAAATATTTCATGAAAGTACTGCTTCCAATGCATACATATACACAAATCTACATTAAGTCATAATGTAAAATGCATTTCTTATTGTGAGTTTTGGTAATTTTGGTTTAAACACTAGTCCAGATCATCACACAGCAAACTACGAGTGATTACTAGAGGATGAAAGTATGAAGAATTTTCATTTTCTAAAATCTGTCGTCTTTGAAATAATCACTAAAATCATGTACTGCTCTGTAATTAGAAGGGGAAAAAAAGTATTTTAAGAAAGAAAAATTATGCCAAGACTTTTAAGCTCAGAGAACTGTGAGATGATGTCATTTACAGAAATAGGGATCACAGGAGGAAGGCATTAGATGAAGATGGAAATTTCCAATCTCTTTGTACTGAGTCTGAAGTGATCACAGAATATTCTGAAGGGATAGGCTGGAAGGCAGTTATGTAACTAGAACCTGGAAGACAGGGTGGAGTATAGGTTTGGTAAACAGCCCCATAGGTGATGGTTGAAGCCACTGACTGTCCAAGGAGTAAAAAGAGAAGCAAACCAGACTTAGAGTTCTGAGGAAAACCTGCCTTTAGGGAGAGAAGGATGAGAAAAAAAAGGAATCAGAGGCAGCAGCAAGAGTGAGAGGTCGGGAGGCGGGAACACTGAACTGACTGAGCCTGGCTTTCTACTCTAACAAAGAAAGCCTTGTCTAGGCAATGGTGCTTTTCATCTGACAAAGTGAGTGCTCAGTAATGTTAACGATTAGAAGCCACGACCGTTCTCAGTGCTTAGCATGATGTCATACTTGTGCTGCACTATTAGCAACTTGAGGGTCTGGTCTGTATTTAACCCAAGTCTCCAACTCACAGCACCTCATACAGAGAAGAGGTATCCTTATTACTCTTTTAAATAATTAAATGGCTAGAATCTTGTGACCAAGACAGGTCCAAAAATGGCAGGAAACATGAAACTCCTCACCAGGCTCTTCTTCTATGGTGCTTTACTTTCCAAGCTGTACAAACCCATAATGAAGCAACCATTGGCTAAACCAATAGAACGTTATCATTCATTTCATTCCCAGGAACTAAAATTACTATCTGAGATTTCTTCCTGATGATTTCTTCCTCATGATATCTAACTAATATTTAAACCCTATCACAGCAATCTTTCTGGTTTCTCCTGTTTCATCTATAATAACTCCGTGATCAAGCCCATCCTGTGTGTCCCTCATAAATCTCTTTACAGTATCAATATTCCTTGGTTTCAGTTATACAGCATGATCAATATTTCATTTATCACTACTCGAAAAAGTGCTGGACAGCCTGAACTTATTATTCAGAATGAACAATAATTGACACAGTAAGATCCAATAGTAGAAAACAATTTATTAAATTAAAACCAAGAAACAATTTTTTAAAACCTGAGGTAGAAGCAAACATTTTAACATATTTAACATCCATTTTTTAAAAAGCCTTCAAAGATGTCCCCCCAGAAGATGGATACACTGAGGTTAAAAATCTGTCACCATATAAATAATCACTTGGAGGTCATTTTGGTTTGCAACATCTTTACAACATCAAAAAAGGGAAAACTGAGTAATGTCCCCCAAACACAGGGGCATGAGAATATGGGTGAAAAAAGGGATATATCTTTTTAATTTGTCATCAATTCAAAAGGCAAAATTTGTTCTCAAAAGAAGAGTATTATTTTCTTTTATATCAAAATCTACTCTAGAATAGGGAAATACTGAAAATAAAAATGAGGATGATGGGGGATAAAAAATTAGTTAAAATAATTAATTCATGTCATAATTTAAAAGTGAAAAATCTATCTGATACCAAAAAGCAAAGTCAGAAAACACATCAGCAAGATGGCCTTTGAATCAGGGACCTCAAAATACAGGAAAGAATCTATGTTTTCATCATCACAAGATTGTGCTTCATTGATGAAAATAAATCAACTCTCTTTATCTGGTCTTTCAAATAAAGTTCTTACAGTTACATCTACAAAACGAAATTAGTCCTGAAATTTTAAACTTAAAAATGAATTTGAGGCTCAGACCCAAGAGTTAATCTATCTTTAAAGCTGGTAAAAAATTTGTCAAACTCTTTTTCTAGATCACATAAAACATATGTATAGTACCTTTAAATTTAGAGTTTTCACAGTTTTGGATATACCTGTACATAAAAAAATAAATACTGTGTTAAAAAAGTTATCTTCACAGTCTAACCAGGTACTACAAACCAAAATTATGAACATTAGGTACTATAGCTAGAAGGAACACTGCCCTAGGATGAAAAGACAAGGAAAATAGTGTCTTATACTCTTGGAAAACCATTCAATATGTGACAAAGACTTTCATGTTCCCTTGATGGAAGATCAATTATGTAAAATAAATTAAGGAAGATATATTTAACACAATATGCAATTGCACAAAAACACTTATGACATCATTATTTAATATTTTATAATTTGGTTTACAGGGCCGGGCACGGTGGCTCACGCCTTAATCCTAAAGCTTTGAGAGGTCAATGTGAGAGGACTGCCTGAGCCCAGTAGTTCTCAAGATCAGCCTGGGGCAACATCGTGAGACCTTGTCTCTACAATTAAAAAAAAAATTAGCCAGGTATCATGGTGCACACCCGTAGTCCCAGTTACTAGGAAGGCTGAGGCAGAAAGATTGCCTAAGACCAGCAGGTCAAGACTACAGTGGTCATGATCATGTAACTGCACTCCAGCCTGGGTGACAGAGTGAGACTCTGACTCAAAAATAATAATAATAATAATAATAATAATAATAATAATTTGGTTTACAGGACTATGAAAAAATAAAGATCATGCCGGGCTCGGTGGCTCAGCCTGTAATCCCGTGCCTTTGGGAGGCTGAGGTGAGTGGATTGCCTGAGCCCGCGGGTTCGAGACCCGCCTGGGCAGCGAGACCTCATCTCTACAATAAATCAAAAAATCAGCTGGACGTGGTAGCGCATGCCTGTAATTCCGGCTACTTGGAAGGCTGAGGCGGAAGGATCGCCGGAGCCCAGCAGGTCGAGGCTGCGGTGGCCGGGAGCGGCCACTGCACTCCAGTCTGGGCGACTGAGACTCCAACTCAAAAAAAAAAAAAAAAAGATCTTTATGGCACTTTATAGATAATTATATACTTAAGCAATAAGATTTATACATCTTGGCCTTTCAGACCTTCATGTAAATTTATTTAATGAGCTATTTTTAAAATAATCTAAATGAAAAGAAATAATTCTCCATTTTTAAAATACAGTCATTTATCCTGGTTTACAAAGGTTATAAATTTGAGGTAAGATGAGCAGAAGGGATAACCATTTTCCTACATGTGGTTGTTCTAGGACAACTGATGAAGTCTTTTCCTTTCCCTTTCTTACCTCACAAACCATCCTTCTCTAACACATTCATTTTTTCATTATTATCTTAACTTTACTTCCTATACGTTGTTTTCTCTTTCCTCTGTAGAATCAAATCTCTGGAATATGTCTGTGGAAACCCCAAGACAGTGAATTTTAATGTATTCAAGTACATAAAGTACTCACAGTAGCACAATCAAATGAAACTACACACAACACAAAAAGGATATTAATTTTTCTGAGTTTAGATGGTAAAAAAGCTTCTCCAAAGGAGGATAGCAGTTTAGTGAGGGCACACACCCCAGGAGAATCAGTTTATGTTTGGCTCTGGTTATAGCAACATTAAGACGTCGCCAATCTTTCAAGAGTTCACCACACTGTAAGAAATATAAGTTTTAATTATTACAGTCTTCTTGTAATATATATTTGAGTTTGTTCTGACAAAGAACATGACTTGTCTTGAAATGTTTTCCTACTTTTAAAACACCGATATAAGAAAGATTCATCAAATAGGGCTCGATGGCTCAGCCTGTAATCCCGCGCTTTGGGAGGCTTAGGTGAGTGGATTGCCTGAGCCTGAGGGTTCAAGCCCACTTGGGCAACTTGGCGAGACCTCATCTCTACAATAAATCAAAAAATTAGCCGGGCGTGGTAGCACGCACCTATAGTTCCAGCTACTTGGAAGGCTGAGGTGGAAGGATCACCGGAGCCCAGCAGGTCGAGGCTGCAGTGGCCAGGAGCAGCCGCTGCACTCCAGTCTGGGCGACAGAGTGAGACTCCAACTCAAAAAAAAAAAAGTCAGAAATGCTCACACACATTTGTGTGTAAAAATAATTCACTACAGATTGATTTACTACTAGCAAAAACTTGAGAATAATCTAAACGTCAAAGAAAGGAAAATAATGATTATATAAATAATGGGGTCCACATAATGGAATACTAAGCAGCCATTAAGAAGAACAAGCTAGGTCGGGCGCGGTGGCTCAGCCTGTAATCCCAGCACTTTGGGAGGCCAAGGTGAGTGGATTGCCTGAGCCTGTGGGTTCAAGACCCACCTGGGCAACTTGGCGAGACCTCATCTCTACAATAAATCAAAATGAGCCGGGCGTGGTAGCGCGCGCCTGTAGTTCCAGCTACTTGGAAGGCTGAGGAGGAAGGATCGCCGGAGCCCAGCAGGTCGAGGCTGCGGTGGCCGGGAGCGGCCACTGCACTCCAGTCTGGGTGACAGAGTGAGGCTCCAACTCAAAAAAAAAGAAAGGCCTGAGCCCCCGAGGTTCGAGACCTGCCTGGGCAGGCAAGACCTCATCTCTACAATAAATCAAAAAATCAGCCGAGCATGGTAGCGCGCGCCTGTAGTTCCAACTACGTGGAAGGCTGAGGCAGAAGGATCGCGGGAGCCCAGCAGGTGGAGGCTGCGGTGGCCGGGAGCGGCCACTGCACTCCAGTCTGGGCGACAGAGTGAGACTCCAACTCAAAAAATAAAAAATAAAGAAAAATTCAAAAACACATTTAAAATTCTGGGTATTTGAGAAAAGTAGCCCACAATGTCAACTTCAAATTATTTTATGTTATGATTCCCTAGCTATAATTTAAAATTGTTGAATACATATAATAAAAACACAGAACTGAAGCTATCTCCATTCACTGTATTATTTTTTGTAATAGTGATAAAAATTATTACAGTAAAAGATCAGGAGACTGATTAAATATATGATAAGGTGTCTGTACAATGAACATCTACGCAAATGTAAGGATAGAATAATCCCTCTGTGTACTCACATGGAAAGATCTCTAAGACATTTTATTAAGAAAAGCAAAGTCCAAAATAGTTTTTCTATTACCTAGGATGTTTAAAAAAAAAAAACCCCAAAATGTGATTATCTGTGTAGTAAGAATTGAGTAGATGAGTGAGGAGTAGGAGAATTTCTATTGTGTGTGTGTGTGTGTGTGTTGGAGTCTCACTGTCGCCCAGACTGGAGTGCAGTGGCTGCCGCCGGCCACCACAGCCTCGGCCTGCTGGGCTCCCACTATCCTCCCGCCTCAGCCTTCCGAGTAGCTGGAACTACAGGCACGCGCTACCACGCCCAGCTAATTTTTTTGATTTATTGTGGAGATGAGGTCTCGCCTGCCCAGGCGGGTCTCGAACCCGCGGGCTCAGGCAATCCACTTACCTCAGCCTCCCAAAGGCGTGGGATTACAGGCTGAGCCACCGAGCCCGGCTTATTATGTATATTTTTTAAAGACATTATAGATAGATTAGGTAGTCAGGAAAAATGAATCAAGGAGAGGCAAAAACAAAAAATAATACTAAAATAAAACCTGTTATTATCCATAAATTTAAAAGTATACAGGAAAGCCTTTATGTTTAAAATACCTTGCCAGGCACGGTGGCTCACGCCTGTAATCCCAGCACTTTGGGAGGTAGAGGTGAGAGGACTGCCTGGCCCAGGGCTTCGAGACCAGCCTGGGCAACTTGGTGAGACCTTGTCTCCATAATAAATCAGAAAAATTAGCCAGGCATGGTGGTACACACCTGTGGTTCCAGCTACTTGGAAGACTAAGACAGAAGGATCACCTGAGTCCAGCAGGTTGAGGTTGCAGTGGCCATGAGCGTGTCAATGTACTCCAGCCTAGGAATCAGAGTGAGACTCTGACTCAATAAAATAAGATAAAATAAAATACCTCAAACACAACAGCTAAGAGGTGGAAGCAACCCAAATGTCGACTAATGAATGAATAAATAAAATGTGGTATATAGAGACAATGAAATATTATTCAGCCTTAAAAAGGAAGTAAATTCTGTCACATGCTACAATATGGGTAAACTAGTTGGCTAATACTGTGTGACTCCATGTATATGAGATACCTAGAGTCGTCAAATTCACAGAGACAAAACATGGAATGACGGTAACAGGGGCCAAGGAGAGAGGGAAATGGATTGTTGATCATGAGAACAGCGTCTTAGATTTGAAAAATGAAAAAGTTCTAGAGATCTGATGAACAGCAATGTGGATACACTTAACACTACTGAACTATACACTTCAAAAGGGTTAAGATGGTAAATTAGTATGTTTTTTAAACTACAATTTTAAAAAGGAGAATGAGACGCCACAAATGAATAGGTAGCAAATAAAATTAACTCACAGTTCCATCCTTATTACTTCTAACAAAAGATACTAGGACAACACTTTTGTCTCTTCCTTGGTATTTGTCTACTGTGTTAACTTCAACCATCCCAGTAGAAGAATGTGCCAATAAATCACTGATGACCTTTAACTGCTGTCTGTATGGTGCAATGATACCAATATCAGAGGGAAAACATCCAGCCTAAACAGAAAAGGACATGATTTAAAATGAAAAATCTCAATTTTAAGATTTTTAAGCTTTTTCTGAATTTATCAAATTAAATGTTTATACTATGTGCCCAAATGATTGATGTTTAGAACAGATGTTCGTATCTCAAGGACTAAATATGATTATTGAAGTTCCTCTAAATCTATGTTCATATTTCCCATGATAAAATAATTCCTTAGACATTGCTCCCTTGATTTTTAGAGGTTCATGGCAGCATAATGGTTTGTATGCTACTAAAATAATACAGCCACACACAAAAAAAGTACAAAGAAATATATTTCACTTTCTGCTGTCCCTTACATAGGAAAGCTTCCGATTCCCAATCACTCTGATTATAGCACAGTATTGACACAATCAGAATTACCTGATATTACAAAAACTTATAATAAAGAAAAACTCCAGTGCCATTATAAAAAGATCACGTCTTAGGTAAGTTTTCTCAAATAAAAACAACTGGGCTTCAGTCTCCCTTATCATAATAAGCAAGGATTAATACCAGATCATAAGTTTCTTACAATCTAATATTTTATTGCTCTGCACTTTAGTATTTATTAGCCTTAAGAATTCTAAATTACCTTAATAAAAATGGAGGTCAGGAAAACTACGAGTTTGGCTTCTGTTATATTGCTCACACCACCTTTTTCAACTTGCTCTGGTGCTGGAACCTAAGTAGAAAAATATACAGCCTGCTTATAAACACAAGCTCCAAAGTTAAGAGTACTGTGAGTACACAGGTGGCCACAAAGACTATACTACCAGATTTGGAGACAGATGAAAAATATCTTTGTCTTAAAAGTTGAAGATGAAAAAGTCCTAGCCAAAGCAAGCAAACAAGAGAAAGAAATAAAGGTTATCCAAATTGGAAATGAAGAAATCAAACTATCCATGTATGCTGATGATATGATCTTTTAATTATTTTAACTTAATATTTTATTTTTAAATTTTTTTTAAAAATGAGGTCTTGCTATGTTACTCAGTCTGGTCTCAAATTCCTGAACTCAAACAATCTTCCCACCTCAGCCTCCCAATGTGCTGGGATTACATGTGTAAGCCACCATGCCCAGCTGATGATATGATTTTACACCTCCTCCAAAAGACTCTTGGACTTCATAAATAAATTCAATAGTCTCAGGATACAAAAATCAACACACACAAATCACAGCACTGCTATACACCAACAGCGACCAAACTAAGAATCAAATCAAGAACTCAATTCCATTTACAATAGCTGCCAAAAAACTAAAATACTTAGGAATATATTTAACCATGGAGGTAAAAGATCTCTACAAGGAGAACTACAAAACATTGATGAAGGAAATTATAACCTGGGAGTGGTGGCTCACACCTATAATCCCAGTACTTTGGGAAGTAGAGACAAGAGGACTGCCTGAGCCCATGGATTCAAGACCGACCTAGGCAACATGGCAAGACCTCGTCCCTACAATAAGCCAAAAAATTAGCAGAGTATGTGGCGTACGCCTATAGTTCTAGCTACTTGGAAGATTGAGGTGGAAGGATCACCTGAGCCCAGCAGGTCAAGGTTGCAGTGGCTGTGAATGTGCCACTGTACTCCAGCCTGGAGGACAGAGTGAGACTCCGACTAAAAAATACAAAACAAAAACAAAAAAGAAAGAAATTACAGATGACACAAACAAATGGAAAAACATCCTATGCTCATGGATTAGAAGAATCAGCATTGTAAAAATAACCATATTACCCAAAGTAACCTACAGAGTAAACATAATCCCTAGTAAACTCCCAATATTATTTTTCACAGAATTAGAAAAATCAATCCTAAAATTCATATGGAACCAAAAAAGCTGGAATAGCCAAAACAATCCTAAGCAAAAAGACCAAAGCTGTAGGCATCACATTACCCAATTTCAAATTATACTGCAAGAGTATCATAACCAAAGCAGCATGTTACTCATAAAAGAGCAGACACATGGACCAATGGAACAAAATAGAGAATTCAGAAATAAACCCAAATACCTACAACCAATTGCTCTTCAACAGGGCATACACTGTGGAAAGAACATCCTATTCAACAAGTGGCGATAGTAAAATTGGATAGCCACATGCGGAAAAATGAAACTTAATCCCTCTCTTACCATATAAAAGGTTAACTCAAGATAGATTAAAGATTTAAATGTCAGACCTAAAGCCATAAAAATCCTAAAAGAAACCTAGGAAAAACTCTTCTGAACATTGGCCTAGGAAAAGAATTTATGGCTAAGATCCCAAAAGCAAATGCAACAAAAATTAATTAGTGGGAATTAATTAAACTAAAAAGCTTCTGTCCAGCAAAAGAAATCATCAACACAGCAAACAGGCAACCTACAGAATGGGAGAAGATATTCACAAACTATACATCCAACAAAAGACTAATATTCAGAATCTACCAAGAACTCAAACAAATCACATAACCCTACTTTTTAAAAAGCAGATAACCCCATTAAAAAATGTCCAAACAACATGAACAGACACTTCTTGAAAAAAGATACACAAATGGCCAACAAACATGAAAAAATGCTCAACATCACTAATCAACAGGGAAATGCAAATTAAAACCACAATGAGTTAAACACCTTGCACCAGTTAGAATGGCCGTTATTTAAAAACCAAAAAGCAATAGATGTTGGCACACATGGTTGTTTGGAGCGTAAATTAGTACAACGTCAATAGAAATCAGTATGGAGATTTCTCAAAGAACTAAAAGTATATCTACAGTCAATCCAGCAACCCCACTACTTAGAATCTACCCAAAGAAACAGGTCATTATACAAAATCACCTGCATCACTTGTTCATCGCAGCACAATTCACAATTGCAAAGATGTGGCATCAATCGAAGTGCCCATCAAATAATCAGTGGATAATGAAAATGTGGTGTGTATACACACACACACACACACACACACACACACACAGAGAATACTAATCATCTATTAAAAAAAGAATGTCTTTTGCAGCAACCTGGATGCAATTGGAGACCATCATCCTAAGAGAAGTAACATAGCAACAAAAAACCAAATACTGTATGTTCTTGTATATAAGTAGAAGCTAAACTAAGGAACTGTAAAGGCATATATAATGGTAAAATGGACATTAGAGACTTAGAAGGGGCAGAGTGGGAAGGGGGGAAGGGATGAAAAATATCAGGTATGATGGACACAGGTGGGGGTTATGGGTACACTTAAAGTTCAGACCTCTTTGCCACTATACAATGCATCTATGTAACCAAAAACCATTTGTATCCCCTAAAGCTATTGAAGCCAAAATTAAAAATAAATTTTAAAAAGTTAAAGTTGCAAGATCAAAAAAAAAAGTTGAAGGTGAAAGAATCAACAAAAAAGAGTGGTATCAGTCACTTTCGGAAAGCCATGCCGAGGCAATCCATCTTAAGCATACTACGGTTCAGGCTAAAATATCAAGGAAAGTTGACGTCACACTGAGCTTCACATACTTTACCTAGTTATCCCCCATTTTACAGGAATCAAAGTCAGAAAAGATAAGTAACTTGCCCAAAACTTCACAATAAACCATTGTACTAGGATTCAAACTTTGATTCAGCTCTAATATTTCTGCTCCTTCTTGCTCCCCAATTTTTTTTTTTTTTTTTACAAATAATGGAGCAGATGAAACCGCTACATACCTGAAAAAACTCTCCAAGGACTACTTCTACTACATTATCCCTAAGCAACCTTCATTATTTTTAATTCAATTTATTTGGAATCCTGCTGCTAAAAGAAAGATCAGCAAAAACAAAGATCCTGAGTGATCATTGGTGAGGGATATAATTGTAAATTACAATTTAAAAACTGGAATTGTGGTTTATAAAAGCAGTCATTTGCAAAAGCAGTTTATCTGGATAAATTTCCCAGAGTCTGCCTACCCTCAGGTGTTAACTCTTGAACTTGAATTGCTAAAGGCTAATATCTAAAAGAGGAAAAGTCCATCACAGATTTGCAGCAAGGACTTATTTTTAACAACCAGCTGGCTCTACCTATCTTTTTCTTTTTTCCTTTTTTGAGTCGAAGTCTCTCTCTGTCACCCAGGCTGGAGGACAGTGACATACTCACAGCCACAGAAGCCTTGACCTGCTGGGCTCAGGCGATCCTTCTGCTTCAGCCTTCCAAGTAGCTGGAACTACAGGCATACGCCACCACATCCAGATAGTTTTGATTTATTGTAGAGACAAGGTCTCGCCAAGTTGCCCAGGCTGGTCTCAAACCCCTGGACTCAGGCAATCTTCCTGCCTCCACCTCCCAAAGTGCTGGGATTACAGGTATGAGCCACCAAGCCCAGCTTCTACCTATCTTAATAGCAACAAAAGGCACAGATAGCTATTTTAGAGTAATATACATACATATAATTGGTCACCATATTTTTATGTGAACTTATGTAAAGACTTCAAACTCAAATGCTAAGAAGCACTATATAAAACAAACTGTCAGAACACAGGACCAAAACTTTGTTCTTAGTTCCTAGAAATAAGAATAAAGTCATTTAAAGACCCTGTGAAGATTTCTGTTTAATGACCGGTTTGTAAAAAGGTTTTTATCACATACATATGGGGACAGGAGCATGTGGGAAATCTTTGTACCCTCTACTTAATTTTGCTATGAACCCAAAACTACTCTAAAAAATAAATTCTATTTTTTAAATGTCTTTAAAAGGATACCAATTTATTCTATCTTCTGTCCTCTTGTAAACCCAGCCTTGTGATAGTATCACTGCTAATATCTTTTCTAGGTAATGTAATTTATACCCTTGACGGCATGCTGTGGCTTTCCTTCCTCAAAAATCAGTTGACATTTATCAACCCCCAGAATAAACTGCCTCCAAAAGATACCAGGTCTCTAAAAAGAAAAGACTCTTTTGTGTTGAGGTGTCAGAAATACACTAGTTGCCTTTTGAATGATAAGCTTGAACAGAGAATACATTAATGAAAACTCAGATATTTAAATAATAGGATGAAAGAAGAAAAACTAAAGAAAGAGAATTTTTACCTTGTCCGTATTAAGAAAACAAACAGGATTGTTTGGCTCAAATACTCCAATCAACCAAGGATTATCAGAATAATCAGCATAAAATTCCAGTTCCAGCTTCACATCCTTCAAGTTAGGTAGGTTTATCACTGCATTGGCCACTTTGTCTGATCCACATTCCAGCTTTCCCTCATAGGTCAGCTTATTACTTAAGGACATGATTTTACTAAGAGAATTACAAAAAATAATTTTAGTTCTGGTAGATGAAAACAAACATGAAAAGCACTCACGCTATTACAAATACCTGTTCATTCGGTACTGCACAGTTAACTGTACAACAGCATTCTTATTCTGCTCCAGCCTCTTGAATAAGCTTTCGCTCATGCCAAGAGCTCTGTCAACAAATCAAATGCAGGCTTCTGAATATACTAAAACTGACTCTTAAAAATAATCCAATATAAAATTAACACTTAAATGTCTGCCTACCTTGCTTCACGGTTTAGCACCAGAGGAGGAAGCTGCTGATGATCCCCCACCAACACAAATTTCCGTGAAAAAAAAAGGGGTCCCAGGCAAACTGGTTGGCTAATTTGAGAGGCTTCATCCACAATACAAAAATCAAAAGTTTTACGGGAAAATATTGGGTGGTTTATTCCCATACATGTTGTTGCAACTATAAGCTAAAAACAAATAAAATAGATCACTTTAGAATGTATATGAGTAAGTTTTTTAAAATATAGTTTATTCTGTTTTTGAAATTACCTTTTTTTTTTGAGTTGGAGTCTCACTCTGTCACTCAGGCAGTGCACTGAGAGAGTGCACTCAGAGAGTGCAGTGGCACACTCACAGCCACCATAGCCTCAATTTCTTGGGTTCAGGCAATCCTTCCAAGTAGCTAGAACTGCAGGCGTGCGCCACCACACCCGGCTAATTTTTTATTATTATTATTGTAGAGATGAGGTCTCACCAAGTTGCTCATGCTGATCTCAAACCCCTGGGCTCAGGCAATCCTCTTACCTCTGAACCTAAAGTGCTGGGATTACAGGTATGAGCCACTGTGCCCAATCTTTTTTAAATTAAACAAAACAAAAAAAAAAATCGAAGAAAAGATTTTTGTCCCGTAACATCTAAAATCCTTCAGTACTATTTAATTCTGAAACATTTACATCATCCAAAACTTATTATTAAAATTTTTTCAGGCTGGTCATGGTGACTCATGCCTATAATGCCAGTACTTTGAGAGATCAAGGAGGGAAAATCACTTGAGGCCAGGAGTTCAAGATCAGCCTGGGCAACATAGTGAGACCTCGTCTCTACCAAAAAAAATTTTTTAAAGTTAGCCATGGATGGTGGTGCACACCTGCAGCCTCAGCTACTCAGAAGGCTGAAGTAGAAGGATCACCTGAACCCAGGAGGTTGAGGCTGCAATGAGCCATGATCACTTTGGCCTGGGCCAAAAAGTGAGACACAAAAGTAAATAGATAAATAAGTAAATATTTTTTTCTAGAAAAAAACCCAAGAAAATTTTCTAAACATTCAACAATACTCACATTTGAACATTTCTAAATGGAAATCTGAGGTATTCAAGAGGCAATAATAATTTTTTTTCTTTTTCTTATCAATAAGTTTTTTTTGTTTGGTTTTTTTTTTGAGTTGGAGTCTCACTCTGTCGCCCAGACTGGAATGCAGTGGCCACTCCCAGCCACCGCAGCCTCGACCTGCTGGGCTACAGCGATCCTTCCGCCTCAGCCTTCCAAGTAGCTGGAACTACAGGCACGCACTACCATGCCCAGCTAAATTTTTTTTTTTTTTTTTATTGTAGAGATGAGGTCTTGCCAAGTTGCCCAGGCGGGTCTCGAACCCGCGGGCTCAGGCAATCCACTCACCTCAGCTTCCCAAAGTGCTGGGATTACAGGCTGAGCCACCAAGCCCGGCTAAAAAGTTTTTTTTTTTTTTTTTACTATCAACCAGGACTTTGCTTCTGGGAAGATGGAACGCTTTTCTTTAACACAGGGTACAACTAAACACCCTGGACACTATATACATAAAACAAACAAAAGAAGGCTCTGAAAGGTGAAGAGAAGGCAGTCTAACTAGGAAGTTTAGGACCAAAGGATCAAGATAGTTGTTGATCCCCTGGGTTTCTTTTGGCCTGATATATTCCAGATTTGGAACTGAGGAAGCCAGCAATTCAGGAACACCAACAAATGCAAATCAAAAAGGGCTTCAACAAAAATCTGCTCTATCTGGCAGAAGAAACAGGAAAGGCAAAGCTTACCAGACAGAAAACTTCTATATAATAACCACTCTAACCAACCATCACAGAAAAAAAGAACATGCCCTTCTCTCCCCACCAACAAAGTCAGCCAAGGTTGAGTAAGGAGCCTAAATTTCCACCCTTCTCAAGGCTGTAACGGGAAAGCCCATACCCAATCAGGGTAGTGGTGGAGAAAGCCAAGTGGGGTGTCAGGCCTTTCATCCTTGCTAACTGGTAAAAGGTCTTCAACCCAATATGTTAGTGGAGACTACATCAGTAGCCTAGACTTCCACCCCTGCCCAGCAGTAAAGAGGAGCTTCCCACATTGTGTGACAAAGAAGGTTGAGTGAGGAACCTAGTCATTGACTTCCACCTGGCAGGAATGTGATGGTGTACCCTCTACTTCTACTTCAGCAGTTTAAGAGAAGGCCAGCAAAAACAGAAACTTTAAATAACATTAAAAATGCTCACGTTTCAATCAAAAATCACTCACTATAACAAGAACCTAGGGCAGTAAAGAGCAGACATTCTTGCTGCTGTCCTGCCCATTGTGTCCTTCACAACGTATCTCTCTTTAATAAATCTTTCTTTCTTAATTAAAAAAAAAAAAATTAGCTGGGAGGAATGGCTCAAGCCTGTAATCCCAGCACTTTGGGAGATGAGGCGAGAGGATTGCCTGAACCCAGGAGTTCGAGACAAGCCTGGCAATTTGGGAAGACCTCATCTCTACAATAAATCCAAAAAATAAAAATAAAAATTAGCTAGGCATGTTGGTGCATGCCTACAATTCCAGCAACTTGGAAAGCTGAGGTGGAAAGATTGCCTGAGCCCAACAGGTGGAGGCTGCATTGGTCATAAGCATGCCACTGCACTCCAGCCTGGGCGATAAGAGCGAGACTCCAATTCAATAAACAAACAAATAGCCGGGTTCAGTGGCTCAGCCTGTAATCCCGCACTTGGGAGCCTGTGGGTTCAAGACCCGCCTGGGCAAGCGAGACCTCATCTCTACAATAAATCAAAAAATCAGCCGGGCTTGGTAGCGCGCCTGTAATTCCAGCTACTCGGAAGGCTGAGGCGGAAGGATCGCCGGAACCCAGCAGGTCGAGGCTGCAGTGGCCGGGAGCGGCCACTGCACTCCAGTCTGGGCGACAGAGTGAGACTCCAACTCAAAAAAAAAAAAATCTTGAAAGCAACCAGAGAAAACACCACCTTGCTATAGAGCAGCCCCGGAATGGGACTGTACAACAGGAAGTTAAGGGAGGGCAACGAGCAAAGCTTCATCTGAATTTATAGCTGTTCCCCATCACTTGCATTACTGCCTGAGTTCTGCCTTCTGTCAAATCAACAGTAGCAATAGAGTCTCACAGGAGCGTGAACCCTGCTGTGAACTGCACATGTGAGGGATCTAGGTTGCCACCTCCTTATGAGAATCTAATGCCTAATGATCTGAGGTGGAGCTGAGGTGGTGATGCTATATATTTCTTTACATATCACAAAGTAATAACAATAGAAATGAAGTGCACAACCAATGTAATGCACTTGAATTATCCTGAAACCATCCCTCCACTCCCACTCCATGGAAAAATTGTCTTCCATGAAAACAATCCCAAGGCTGGGCACAGTGGCTCATGCCTATAATCCCAGCACTTCGGGGGGCTGAAGTGAGAGGATTGCCTGAGCTCACTGGTTCGAGACCAGCCCGGGCAACTTGGCAAGACCTCATCTCTACAATAAGTAAATTTTTAAAATTAGCTGGGCATGATGGTACATGCTTATGGTTCCAGCTACTTAGAAGGCTGAGGGAGAAAGGATCACCTGAGCCAAGCAGGTCAAGGCTGCAGTGGCCGTAAGCGTGCCATTGCACTCCAGCCTGGGTGATAGTGTGAGACTCCAACCCCCCCCAAAAAGAAAACAGACCCAATGCCAAAAAGACTGGGGACTGCTGCCATAGACAAAAAACCTAATTTGAGAGACTGTGTATTTTTCATCAGAAACCATGGCAGCCAGAAGAAAGTGGCAGAATATTTTTCAAGTACTGAAAGAAAAGTACTGTTAACCTAGAATCTCATACCTAGTACTTAAGTCCCCTACATATGAACCTTCAAGTTGCAAACTTTCAAAGATGCGAATGTACACTTGCGGGTCTAATAATGTAAGTTAGTTTGTGTGTCTGGCATACTGTCACATGCGTACATCCTCTACAAGTGGTTCTGCTTTTGTGTACTTTACTGTACAGTATTGCATAGAATACAGTAGCCCAGTATCTTTATTTCAAGCCCAGAATGTCTGGAAGCAAATATAAAAGCAGCAGTGATGTAGCTGGTACTGCTAAGCACAACGCAATAACAATGAAAACAAAAGTGTAAATAATTGAGTGGAGTAAGACAACAAGATGGTAGATGTCACTTGTTCTTATAATATGAATCATTCAACCACCAGCACAATGCTATATAGCCAATTATGTTAGTTGAGTACCCAGGCTAACTTTGTTAGACTTATGAACAAATTGAACCTATGAACATGCTCTCGAGATGGAACTTGCTCATATGTAGGGAACTTATTGTAAAACTATCTCCAGGTTGGGCACCATGGCTCACGCCTACAATCCCAGCACTTTGGGAGGCCAAGGTAAGATGATTGCCTGAGTCCATGGGTTCAAGACCAGCCTGGGCAACTTGGCTAGACCTCATCTCTACAATAAATAAAAAATAAGCGAGGTGTGGTGGCACATGCCTGCAATTCCAACTAATTGGAAAACTGAGGTGGAAGGATCACCTGAGCCAAGCAGGTAGAGGTTGAGGTGGCCATGAGCATGCCTCTGCACTCCAGCCTAGGCAAAAGAGTAAGAGATTCCAACTTGGAAAAAAAAATAGCAGAGTTAAGCCCTAATATATATCAGTAATTACAATAAATGTGGGGTTTTATTTTGTATTGTTTTTATTTTTTGAGTCAGGGTCTCACTCTATTTTCCAGGTTGGAGTGCAGTACATGACCATGGCTCACCACACCCTTGACCTCATAGGCTCAAGCAATCCTTCCACCTCAGTCTCCCAAGCAGCTGGGATTGCAAGTAGGCACCACCACACCTGGCTAATTTTTTGAGTTTTTTTTATAGAGACAAGGTCTCACTATGTTGTCCAGGCTGGTCTTGAATTCCTGGTCTCAAGCAACTCTCCTGCCTTGACATTCCAAAGATTTAGGATTACAAGCATGAGCCACTGCACCCAGTCAATTACAATACATGTAAATGGCTTAAATACACCAATTAAAACCACAGATTTAGCAGAGTAAATGAAAAAACATGACCCAGATACATGCTGTCTGCAAGGAACTCACTTCAAATATGATATAGGTATGCTAAAAGCAAAATGAAGGAGTGTTAGACTAATTGATGCTCATATGTTGAACAATCCTGAAATTATGGGACAAAAATTCCATCTGGTTATGGTATATAATCCTTTTAATATGCTGCTAAATGTAGTTTGTTAGTATTTTGTTGAGCATTTCAGCATCACACAAATATGACCTTTTTTTTCTTGGAGACAGGATCTCACTTTGTTGCTTAGGCTGGACTTGACCTCTTAGGCTCAAGTGATTCTCTTACCTGAGTCTCCCAAGTAGCAGACACTATAGGCATATACCACCTAGCTAAACTCTGCCCAGTTGATTTTTTAACACAGTGCAAAAAAAACTCAGTAGAAGAATGACAACTTTTGCAACAAACAGTGCTGGAGAAATTGGACATCCATAGGTAAAAAACAAAAACAAAAACTCAACCTAAATCTCATATTTTACACAAAAAGAAACTCAAAATAGTCCCAAACTTACATGTAAAACATAAAACTGTATGACTAGCAGGAAAAAAAAAATAGGAGAAAACCTTCAGTATGTGGAGTTAGAGAAGGAGTTCTTAGACTTAATACCAAAACCCGAATCCATAAAAGAAAACCATTACTTCCTTCTTCTATTGAAGGATAATAAAGAGAGAGAGAAAGAAAAAGAAAAACATTTCTATACTGAACTTCCTCCAAATTAAAACCTTTTGCACTGAAAAGAACCTGTGAGGAAGATGAAAAGCAAGTTACAGAGTAGAAAAAATATCTGCAAACCACATATTCAGTAAAGAACTACTATCTAGAGCATATATAAAGAACTCTCAAAACTCAACAGTAAAAAGCAAATGTAGGTCAGGCATGGTGGCAGACACCTATCATCCCAGCACTTTAGGAGGCTGAGCTGGGAGAATTGCTTGAGGCCAGGAGTTCAAGACCAGCCTGAGCAACATAGTGAGACCCTATCTCTACAAACAAATTTAAAAATTAGCTGGGTGTGATGGTGTATACCTGTAGTCCTAGCCACTCAGGAAGGCTGAGGTGGGAGGATCGCTTAAGCCAGGGAATTTGAAGCTGCAATGAACTATGATCACACCACTACACTCTAGCCTGAGCAACAGAGTTAGACAATGTCTCAAAAAAAAGGAAAAGAAAACAATCCAAAATGGGCAAAAGATATGAAGAAATAATTCAACAAAGAGGATATATAGATGATAAATAAGTATGTAAAAACATCATTAACCACTGGGTAAATGTGGAGTAAAATCAAAAGATATTACCACACACCTATCAAAATGGCTACAATAAAAAATAGTATAAGCCAGGCATAGAGGCTCACCCCTATAATCCCAGCACTTTGGGAGGCTTAGGCAAGACGATTGCCTGAGTCCATGGGTTCGAGACCAACCCAGGCAACTTGGCAAGACCTCGTCTTTATAATAAATCATAAAAATTAGCCAGGTGTGGTGGCGCACGCCTCTTGTCCCAGCTACTTGGAAGACTGAGGCAGAAGGATTGCCTGAGTCCAACAGGTTGAGGCTGCAGTGGCTGTGAGCGTGCCACTGCCCTCCAGCCTGGGACACAGAGTAAGACTCTGACTCAAAAAAAAAAAAAAAAAAAAAATAGTACGACCACCAAATGCTGACAAGGACCACTCATACACTGGTAGTAGGAATGTAAAATGTTACAGCTGCTATGAAAAAACAGTTTGGTAGATTAAAAACTAATAATAATAAACATGTAACCACCACACAATCCAGATATTGAATTCCGGAGAAATGAAGACTTATGTCCACACAAAAATCTGCACATGAGTACTTACAGCAGCCAAAAACTAGCAACAATCCACATTTTCAATGGGAGAATGGTTAAACACACTGTTAAATATCCATACTATGAATATACTCAGTAATAAAAAGAAACAAATACATACAACAATCACTCTTGCCAATCAAAGACAGCATGAGGTCCTTAGTAATCAGGAACCTGCAACATTAGCTGAAAATTCACTTAACCTTGCAATCTAACACTTGCCAGAGAACTAGGCTGAGTGAAAATGCCAATCCCAAAAGTTTACACACTGTATGACTACATTTACATAACATTCTTGAATGACAAAATTATAAACAAAACAGGCTAATGGTTGTTAGGGGTTAAGAAAGGGGTAGGGCAGGAGAGAAGTAGGTATAACTATAAAAGCACAACATGAGGGATCTTTTGGTAATAGAACATTGACTGCATCAATATCAATATCCTAGTTGTGATACTGGACTAGAGAATTGCAAGATATTGCCACTGGATAAAAGATACACACAATCTCTCTATTTAATTTCTTATAGTAGCATGTAACTCTACAAATATTTCAAAATAAAAAGTTTAATTTAAAAAAAATCAGCCAGGAGCCAGGCTCTGTGGCTCAGCCTGTAATCCCACACCTTTGGGAGGCTGAGGTGAGTGGATTGCCTGAGCCCACGGGTTCGAGACGCGCCTGG